GCAGAGCTGCCTCCCTCCCGCGGGGACCTGGGGCCAGCGGAGGGGGTGACTCAGGACAAGGAGCCGAGACCCCCGGGGCAGGGACCACCCTGGGGTGCTCCAATCCATGGTGGGACCCCTCAGCAAGGTGCTGGCTGCTGGGGGGTGGGGTTTGCTTAAGGGCTGGGGGGGCTGTTGGGGTTGTGCAGTTCTTCCCCTCCCTCTTCTTGAAAAAGGCTCCTGGATCACCCAGGAAGAAAGGCCAGGAGACGGCGGTGGTACCCAAAACATCACAGTGAACACCACACTCAGCTAGAAACACCCGCAGGCTGCTCCTGCGGTGAGGAGAAAGCCCCCCCCCCCGGCGAACCCCCTGCTCTCGACTCTGCAAAATGCCCCAGAAGAAAAATATTCCTCCCCACCAGGGAAGCAAATAAATTCCACCCCCCCCGGGTCCTCGCCCAGGGCGTGGGTGGGAATCGCCCCTTCGTCACAGCAGGTCCCCGCCATGCGATGCTCCCCCCATGGCGGAGGGGGATGACGCCCGACGGTCTCGCCACCGTAGCACCGAGGAAAACCCAGCGGACTCTGGCTGTGCCAGGAAAGCTGGGCTGATGCTTCGCAGCCTCCTCTTTCCTCCGCTGGTCAGCAATGTTCCCTCCTGAGAGCGGGCTTAGGACGTGTCCTTCAGCTCGGGGCTGGGGGGCTGCGGAGGGGGCACCTCTGCCGAGGGCGACTGCATCTCCTGGGCGCTGCCTGTGAGGAGAGACGAGGATATGAGCAACCCCGGTTCCTGCCCGCCCCGCACTGTCCTCCATCTTCCCCATCACCTACCTGCGTTCAGGGACATCTCGGCCAGCTTGAGGGGCAGGTCAGAGGGGCTGACACCGGCCGGCGAGCCCAGGATGTCAGGCAGGGCATTGCGCCGGCCCGTTCTCCCGGAGGATGCGAAGTCCAGCACGGGTTCCACCTCGGTCATGCTAACGCTGGAGAAACACGGTCCCCTTCCCCGTCAGCACTGCTGGGCAAGGTGGCACCCAGCCCCTGAGCGCGGAGGGTGGCTCTGGTCCGGGCAGGATGCTCTAGTTCAGGGCAGGCAGCATCCCCTGCCTGCAGCTGCCCGGGGAGCAGGGCTAAGCCCTCCACAACCCCCTCTGCCCACCCTGACTGCAGGCACTCCAGGAGCGAAGGCAGGGGCCACCCTGCCCGCGGCACTCCCCCATCTCCAGGGTTGGCACCTTTAGGTGCTGTGACCCCCACTGGTCACCACATCATGGAGGAATGGGGGTCCTCAGGG